CCCCAAAACCCCAAAACCCCATTAAGGTTGATATCTTATTTTAAACTATTAAAATTTTAAATTTGCAAATAATATAGCTTAATTTGTGAATAATTTAGTGAGGAAACATTACATTCAAAGCTAGGCTTATAATTCCAAATCATTGCTAAGTTTTTTACTCTTCTAAGTTATCTAAACACTAATATTCAAATTACTAACTTGTCTCTCAATATCCATTGCTTTTTCAATAGACTTTACATTTCTTCTTGCAATAATAGATTGATGTAGGATTTCATTTCCATAATCTTTCTAAGCATGGTTCCTCAGGGGTATAATACTAGACTGATTTTCATTAACACTATCATTATTATTTTGACTAAGACTAGGCAAAATCATGCTTTGCAGGTTCTATTATTTCTTAGACTTCTTTTTACTACTATGCATTTTACTTTTGAATTCACTGAATGCCTTAGGAGTAAGATAAGTTGCAAATATCTTGTCATATTCACTACTTGTATCCTTTTTCCTGACAGTATTGGAGACTGAGATCTGTTTCTTGGAATCTTGTTTACCAAGGTCAGATTTACTCACAATACTATCCATCTTATCTACTTTCATACTTTAACCTATCTTTGATTGCCTATTGGTATGTAAATAGCCATACTCATTAGCAGACTAAAGGTCTGAGTTGACTCTGTTAAGTTTTCCATCATATGAAGCTACGTCGCTTGTTTTCTGTTGCAAAAAATCTATTTTTTTCTTGAGCTAGATTTTTCTTTAACCAATAGAACTTAAACTCTTTTCTGGAGTCATTATCTCTTTTAACTAACCAGGTCTCTTCATTGGACTATCCCTAATTAAATTGTTTCTAATCTCTCTTCCCCTAGATATTGTCTCACTAATGATTGACATTTATAAGGGATTCCTAGTAAAACTTTAGTCATTCTAACTTGTATTAACAACCCTAAAGTCATTTCTCAGTGCTTTTATCTCATTTACCACTTCTTTTTTTCTCAAATTAATATTTTCCTTGATAAACATTACTTGCTGCTTCAATTACTTTTCCTCTTCTTTTTTTATATTGAATTTCATATCTTGCTCATCGAACTATTTTTACTACAAATGCTTTTCAAGCAGCTAATGCTCTTTAAATTTCCTAAGTTCCTAGAGTTAATATTCTCTCTTTTGATTCTCTTCCAAGACCTTCCTTTCATGTTCCTCCTTTTATTATGTCTTTACAGATAGTACTGATTACTCCTTCTCCTTAATTTTATCCAATACTTATTTTTTCTTTGAGGCCTCCATTTCCATAAGCTTTTCGGAATATATCTTTTTCTTTTTTTCTTATAGTTATCATTCAAGACTTCGTACTTCTTCAAGTTCCTATTTCTAAGCATCTTTCCTTTACTTAAGTTTCTATTCTTGCTGTTCAAATTGCTCAAGTATTTTAACTTTTCTATACTCTTCTCTTTGCTAATTCTCTAATAGAATTTGCTTTATCTCTTCTCTTTTTAGCTAAGCTTATATCTTTAACTCCTCATTTAGGTGCTGTTTTTATTTCTAGATCTCTTGAATCTTGATTTCACCTTGTCAAATTTTACGCTCCAGATTCTGCCTTTATTTGTCCTCTCTTTCTTGTCTCTTATCTTTGTTAGTTTTCAATCTAATTTCGATTTCCTTTTGCTTCTCAAAATTCATTTACTTCTCAAGTTGCCTTCTCTCATCTAACTTAATCTATAATAGCTTCTCTCTAGCATCAAGTTCTAGCTGTCTTTACTTGAACTATTATTCTATTTCTCTAAGATACTAGTCTCTTTTTTCTTTAATCTGCTACTATTTCCTTTAATATTCCAAATCTCTTTCCTTAGCCTACGTTTATCTTTCTGCTTCTCTCTATTTTTGCTTTTCCATAACTTCTTACATTTTATGCTCTTAATTAATTGATATCATGGCTGATTACTAATTTTCATTTTTCTTTTGATTTTGCTCTCTTTATCTATTTTTCTCAGCAATTTCTTATTCCTTCAACTTCAAGATTTACATGACAAGTTTCTACTTTTTCTCGAGCTTTGTGTCAATCTCTTCAATTTTTATCTGTCTTTATTGGGCCTTTTGACGCTCCATCTCTAATATTTTCTCAAGTCTTTCAAGCTCCTTTTATTCTTTGTCAATTACCTTTGAAGGCCAATCTTAGTATTGCATCAAAGTAATCCTTGACTAATTATTGTCGTTTGTCTTCATTATAAATGAATTGGATTTCAAATTAGTAGAAACAATGCCAATTTAATCAAATTATTTCATTTTATTTTGCTTTAAAAACCTTAAATTTTATAAGCCCGGGGTTTTGGGGTTTTGGGGTTTTGGGG